TCATTTTATAGCTCAGAGCTGAAAAAAGAATAGGTAATTACGAAACCGACAAACAAAAGGTGAGACAAAAGTGGAATGAACGTTAAACAAGATTTATGACTTGTAGTCCTCGTGTGAAAACGTTTATTCCCTCTATATCCCCTTAAATCCTGGTTTGTCAATATCATAAAATTTTTGACAAATGTTTGGACATGGAATTATGCAACATTAACATGAAAGAGAGGGGTGTTTAATGTATTCTTAAGCATTTTCTGTTATTAAGTCAACATTACAGGTAAAATAAAGAGGAGCAATAAATTTTGTAAATCAAAATTTTTTTTAAAGTAAAGGCTGCTAATAGGTCATGGAAAAATATTCAAAATAACATATCCGATACAATTTTTATTAACTTTTCTGTTGAACACAATGATGTAAATCCAATTTCCTTATTTCATATAGCATCTAAAAGCACTAGGCTTAATGAAAAAGTGGACATTTATTTTTGATCTGCATTTCTACAAACAGTGGAAATAATCTTACATGCATTCATAATTACATAACATGAACAGTGTATTTACAATTGAAACATTCAGTCTAAACATGTAATATAAAACTGTGTTCATTACTACTAATCTTTATTAAAAAGTAGCTGAAAATCATAGTTTGCGCGTGTCTTCAAACAATAAATCCGAAAAGATTTTCACCAAAAATTACATCTATTGTCTGTGGTTACAGACATTAAGTAATTATATGGTAAGAATTATCCACGTGAAGACAGACGATTGTACAGCCACTACACGGTAAAACAGACTTTGATCACATATCATTAGGAGGTAGGAGACATTTCACACTCAATTAAGCGCAAAACTTGTATCCTTTTGCACGCACGAGAATCCTCAACTTGTGATAGCTTTTATGGCTAACATTTTAGTAGTTTTTAATTTTCGGTATTCACGGTAATTGTAGAAACATGAATGATGCCAAATTTGGAGAAAAGATAAAATAAAGTTATAAATAATTTCTTTGAAAAGCAACAAGGAAGAAATCTACAAGCAATTAGAAAATAGTATGTTCAGTAAATAATACTAAAAGACGTGGACCCAGCCAGAGATATATTAATAAAATACCCTCAATAATGTATCTTCCAGTATGCGAAAAATCCAGATATTGAGTAAGGATAAGTAACTCATTTCTTATTCATATGTTCATCACTTTAAAAAATGACATTAAGGACCGAATTTGTAGCCAAAAGGAATCAATTACCATTAATGATTTCGATGTGGTAACACTGGTTTACGTATAACCTCTGAAAGTTTGGTTTTAATGCACGGTTAAGCCGAATATCTAAATTACAGGCAAGATAACATATTTAACAATTACTTTTTTAATGCTGTAATTTTGTTTTTCCAAATGGCACAAAAGCTGTCGATAAGAATTCTTTCTTAAATTTACCGATTTTCAATTAATCATTACAGATTACATGTTATCAATAAAAGTAGTTGTGAGGAATAAATTACTAGGAAGCCTTGCACGGGTTGGTAGTACTAGCAGTACTGTCATTCTAATGACCTATCATTAATGTATCTCAAATCAGACGCCTGCAATTTTGTCTCCGTATTTACGATATTTAAATGTCATGAGATTAAAATTGCAAAAATAATCAATATACCGTATAGAAATTAAGCCAAAATAAAGCAAAAAGTCGTAAAATATCCTAAAAATTATAGGTATTTTGTAATTTTTAGTGTTTCGATGGTTAAATAATTAGTGAGTACAATGCAACTACTTTCATAATAAACGGATCACATTTTTGTTTTTTTTTTCTAAATGCTGAAATTGCCTAAGATTAAAGAGTTCATCACATATGGGGATTACTTTTTTCCATTGCACTGTTTTATAAATCATACAAGATGTGTTTAGCAATTGAATTACGCACGTTTATTTTACACCAAAAGTTGTATATCGCCTTTAACCAAAAATCAAGGAAAATTTGATTTTACACAAATCAACGCAAATCATTGTTTGAACGCATGTGTATAAGGATGTACAGATATGATTTAAAACATCTCTTTAGCAAAGTTGTTAAATTCATGGAAACAACAACTCTAGTTTTTGACACAGAAATTTATCAAATTTTGATACGCAATTTATTAAACAGTTAGTTTGAACATAACTTTTTTTTATTTCTAACTACCAAGGGATTGGGGACAAGTTCGAAAAACTTAAGAATTTTAACATTTATGAAAATGAAAGAATCCGCATTTATCTTTAAGAATCTCTGGATAATGAACCAATAAAATATATGAAGACGAATATTATTCAAGCTCAAAAGTCCATAAAACAATATAAAATAGGAGCAGAGCAAACATGGACCTCAAAAACATAAGATTTGGGATCAGGTGCCACGGAGGAGTGAGCATCCCCTGTCCTCACGATCGCCGTGTGCTCCTTGTCATGATCGGGAAATAACGAAAAAATCCGTCGTCAATATAGTGTGTAAATAATGGACTAAAATAGAATGAAAAACGTCAGTCAGCATTGGACTCAATGAAAAATTGTATTTGCTGACAAGGTCATCGTATCGACCATAGAACTTACGAAATGATGACTTTTAACGAGCTAATTAGATGTAGCTGGTTAATAAAACATATCGTTAGAGCTAGATTTTTCATACCAATTGTTAGTCCATTATTTATACACTGAATTGACGACGGATTTTTTCCGTTATTTCCTGATCATGACAACGAGCACACGGCGGGTGTGACCGGTCGGCAGGGGATGCTCACTCCTCCATGGCACCTGATCCCACCTCTGATGTTTCAGAGGTCCGTGTTTGCTCTGCTCTTATTTTGTATATTGTTTAATGGACGTTGAGATTGAATACTGTTCGTTATCTCCATATCCTTCATTTGACAGAAATAAATTGTATATATATCATAAATACAAATCACACGTTCTTGCAAAGTGAAGAAAAAAAACGAATTCATGAAGAATTGAATTACGCAAGTTTATTTTACACCAAAAGTTATATATCGCCTTTTACCAAAAATCAAGAAAAAATTTGATTTTACACAAATCAATGCAAATTATTGTTTGGACGCATGTGTATAAGGATGTACAGATATAATTTAAAACATCTCTTTAGCAAAGTTGTTAAATTCATGGAAACAACAACTCTAGTTTTTGACAGAAATTTATCAAATTTTGATATGCAATTTATTAAACAATTAGTTTGAACATAACTATTGTTATTTCTAACTACCAAGGGATTGGGGACAAGTTCGAAAAACTTAGGAATTTTAACATTTCTGAAAATGAAAGAATCCGCATTTATCTTTAAGAATCTCTGGATAATGAACCAATAAAATATATGAAGACGAATATTATTCAAGCTCAAAAGTCCATAAAACAATATAAAATAGGAGCAGAGCAAACATGGACGTCCATAACATCGGAAGTGGGATCAGGTGCCACGGAGGAGTGAGCATCCCCTGCCGACCGGTCACACTCGTCGTGTGCTCCTTGTCATGATCGGGAAATAACGAACAAATCCGTCGTCAATTTAGTGTGTAAATAATGGACTAAAATAGAATGAAAAACGTCAGTCAGGATTGGACTCAATGAAAAATTGTATTTGCTGACAAAGTCATTGTATCGACCATAGAACTTACGAAATGATGACTTTTAACGAGCTAATTAGATGTAGCTGGTTAATAAAACATATCGTTAGAGCTAGATTTTTCATACCAATTGTTAGTCCATTATTTATACACTGAATTGACGACGGATTTTTTCCGTTATTTCCTGATCATGACAACGAGCACACGGCGGGTGTGACCGGTCGGCAGGGGATGCTCACTCCTCCATGGCACCTGATCCCACCTCTGATGTTTCAGAGGTCCGTGTTTGCTCTGCTCTTATTTTGTATATTGTTTAATGGACGTTGAGATTGAATACTGTTCGTTATCTCCATATCCTTCATTTGACAGAAATAAATTGTATATATATCATAAATACAAATCACACGTTCTTGCAAAGTGAAGAAAAAAACGAATTCATGAAGAATTGAATTACGCAAGTTTATTTTACACCAAAAGTTATACATCGCCTTTTACCAAAAATCAAGAAAAAATTTGATTTTACACAAATCAACGCAAATTATTGTTTGGACGCATGTGTATAGGGATGTACAGATATAATTTAAAACATATCTTTAACAAAGTTGTTAAATTCATGGAAACAACAACTCTAGTTTTTGACAGAAATTTATCAAATTTTGATATGCAATTTATTAAACAATTAGTTTGAACATAACTTTTGTTATTTATAACTACCAAGGGATTGGGGACAAGTTCGAAAAACTTAGGAATTTTAACATTTCTGAAAATGAAAGAATCCGCATTTATCTTTAAGAATCTCTGGATAATGAACCAATAAAATATATGAAGACGAATATTATTCAAGCTCAAAAGTCCATAAAACAATATAAAATAGGAGCAGAGCAAACATGGACTTCAAAAACATAAGATTTGGGATCAGGTGCCACGGAGGAGTGAGCATCCCCTGTCCTCACGATCGCCGTGTGCTCCTTGTCATGATCGGAAAATAACGAAAAAATCCGTCGTCAATATAGTGTGTAAATAATGGACTAAAAATAGAATGAAAAACGTCAGTCAGCATTGGACTCAATGAAAAATTGTATTTGCTGACAAGGTCATTGTATCGACCATAGAATTTACGAAATGATGACTTTTAACGAACTAATTACATGTAGCTGGTTAATAAAACATATCGTTAGAGCTAGATTTGACAGAAATAAATTGTATATATATCATAAATACAAATCACACACTTGCAAAGTGAAGAAAAAAACGGATTCATGAAGATGGAACAAAACCTATGATCTATTTACCGGGGGGTATTATGATATTTCTTAATTCGTAAGGCCATAAATATTCACTTAAATTTCTCATAGTATTTTACCTTCCATGCACTAATTACATTTGATTTTTAGTACATACCGTCCTTTGAAGAGCTTCACTTTGATACTACAAAAGTAAACGTATTTTTTAAGCTATATCCTTAAGACTAAGAGTTCATTGCAACGTTAACAATGTCACACTTGTCTTTCATTTAAACAAGGGATGCACACTAATTTGTTTGTTTGTCTGCTTGTTTACGTTCCTTTAAGAACTTTTTATTAATATATTGTGAAGATACTTCTATTTTTTCTAGACCTGTTCTCGGCCCTTACGGTCTTTGAGCAAATATGACATTTTCTCGAATCAGCATCTACTGCATCACATGACCTCCATTTTAACGGTCTCATCCGAAGGCCCGAAAGTTCGGAGCATCTCCCTACTCCTCAACTCTAGAGCAAACGATCTAACCAAACATTGCAAATTATTGTGTGGATAAATGTACGTGTATAAGAATGTGATAGTATGCATCTCTTTATCTTGACCAGATCATAATTGTTTAATTGATTAAAAAATTTTTAAAACTACAAAAATTCGTCAAATCAGATGTAGTCGAATTGTTTTTCTCAGAGAAAACATTGCAAGGCACTCTTCGAGACTTTTTTTTCAAAGAAATGAAAAAAGCATGGAAAGAACATGCTTGAATACAAGTTTTCAATTATTTTTTTAGAAAAATAATTTGTCAAAGGTTATTCCTTTGTACACAGATAGCGAATATTCCTTAGGAGTTCAACAATTTCTCAAATATAATATCTTTTTATAATTATGTTGTCGTAGTTTGACTTTATATTTCTTAAGTAAAATCGCTTACCTTCCACTGTTTCCATAATATTACTTTCGATGTTCATGTTGTATTCTTTTTTAAACTTATCATCCCCATGGCTCTGAAAAAGATGTACAATTTGACAAAAATGCAAACTTAATATTTAAAGTACAGAACTCATTTTGGTAAAAACTCATGGTACAGACTATTTCATTCAGGAAAGCCACAAAATTCTTTTGGCCACTGTCTGTTTTAAATTGATTAATTATCAATGTTTGTCGTAAATAATAAATGAAACTGCACTTTGTAGCTCGATTCTGTCTTATTCTTTTTCTGTAAACTCATGTTCTTAATTGTAATCAATTCTTACAGGACTGTTAATGATATCAAAGTAAACTATTTTATTTGCTACACGCCCCGCTAAAAGTTCACCGACAAAGGTAAGAAATTTTATGAATATTATTCTTTTTAACAGAAATGAAGGAAAATTAGTGCTCTTAACGAAAATTAAAAATTGTCATTTTTTAATCATTAAAATCGTCGAAGAAATACTCGATTCATTATATTTGTTTTCTTATTGCCGTAATAATTTCTATCACTCTTTAATGCGTTTTAATGTATGTATAATAAGAGTCTTCATAAATTAAACATCGCATTCAGTAAGTTTTTTGTGAAGTGATTGGTATGAATTGCTTTTTCAATAACAAGATATCTACATGTATTTGTTAAACTTCGGTGAAAATAAAAGCTACGTTTTTTTATTTGGAGATTTTAAGTATATCTTATTTGATTAATATTATGTAAAGAATAATCAAAGTATAGTAAAATCGTGTTTAAAATACTTCATCTCTGCAGTCTTCTGTATATCAAAAAAATATGTAGATTTAATACTTTTTTTAATTCTACATGATTGATTTTGACTTTGATAAAATTTTCATTTAAGGAATATCATATATTTTAAAAAAAATAATATTATATAAAAAATACAAAAATATTATTTTTACTGAAAAAAATGTGCTTTTCAGAGCTGGAGAAATTTATCTACAATAATATATATTTATGGATAACTGATATTGCGGTGCTCTGTTTGACACAAAGAAAACGCAAGTTTGGAATTGAATGGTCATTCATTTATAAATAAATGACAAAGCAATCAAAACATATCAACACCTAGTAAAATAGACAATACAATAATGTATATTTTGAAATGTCTATCATTATTAGTTTCTTTTAATGATAATATTAACTAAAATATTTTCTAATGACTACGTTTTTCAAATCTACAACGACATGTCGTTTACATGTTTATGCTAAATCTAATAATAAATCTACTTGTGGAGATTATAGGAAAATCTTCTCTGTTACTCATCCTATTGTACAGAGAGTTTCATTACTTCCTATGATAAATCCAATAATATTCAGATACGATTTTTTCAGGAGCGTTTGGGTATCTGGTTTTTCCATTTCTTCCCACCAGACAGTGCATAAAAAGTGGAACCGCAAAAACTCATTAAAACCAATTCTCACTTAGTAATCATTGTTATGCAAGAACGATGAAAGTCTGACTGGCCAGAATAGTACAGTTATAACCAAACTATATAGATATTACTCACTTGACGAACAATAAAATCGTATTAAATGTTGTAACTTTTCAATAAGTTTACAATGCGGACATCTGCCGTCTTTCACGAGTATTACAGCAATTTGGAGGAGGTTCGCTTTATGAGGATAATTTGCGACAAGAACTGCTAATTGGCTTTTATGTTTAGTTTATTACGAGATAGATGTATCTATAAGAAGAGAGTATGAGCTAAATATTGATTTTATTAGTCATAGCTTGTATGTTCAAATTAGTAACGAAAAAAAATTACTAGTAATTTATCTCCGTACAAAAAACCCTTCTATCTATATAAAAAAAATAAAGGTAAAAAAGTATAAAATAACAAACTCATATTTCTCTATTTTTGTCATGTTTGCTGATAAAAGCATTATCTTCCTAATACAGTTTAAAAATAGACCTTTAAAAAATAATACCATTTACAGTATTTAAATGAATCATTCTAGCATTTCTGAAAAAAAACCCCCAAAAAACAAAACAACTTAATATAATATAAATGGCAATTCAATCGAAAATAAGTAAATAATAGATAACTTTCTTTATCCTATGTCTTTACCTCTTAGCTATTTCTATTTCTTATAGAAACTTAAGTTTTCAATACATATTAACCACGGAAAGTTATATTCATTCTACAATTCCTTCACTAGGAAATTTAATCAGGATGACAATTAAAAGTGTAGGCGTTGAAGTTGCTCCTAAATTAAGTGAATTATAATTAGGTAATAAAATATCAATAAAATAGACTTTCCTATGTTGTGGGTTATTGGGTACAAGCTGTGGCCTCATGTGGAGTCTATATACCCCGAAGGCCAGAATCAATCAGTTCTGATTAGATCTATTAAAATAAAATTTAATAACATTTTGCGATAATTTTTATCGTAAGTCCTGAAGCAAAATTTCGTTTGTAAATGAAACAAAACTTAAATTACCCTTATAATTATTTATTTGTCAAGAAATGTAAATTAACAATTCTTTTCATAAATCAAAGAAATATTTGTGCTTTTTAATTATTAGACGTTGGCTTTTTATGATGCTCTTCTTGGGTGAGGAAATAGGCAGACTCGTGTCTTAAGTCCCTGGAGTCAACCACTTTCAAAAAATGCATTGTGTTGATACAGAAAACAAATGAATGAAAATAATAATTTTTTGTCGATTGTTTTGGGGTGAAATCTCCGTCGTTAAATTGGATTTTGATGAACAAGTTCCTGACATTTATTCGCATGTACACCTTTATTTAGCGTTGATAACTATCACGAGGCGAGACGGGCCCTAAACCCGGCTCTACATCCAAACTGAATTACAACCGCGGGCCCTGGCTAGTTCTTGACGTATCTGATTGAGACGGCAGAGAATTCACTCTCCGTCGTAAAAGTCCGATACGGAGATTTTTTGCGACATGAAAAAGGCTTATCAATTCAGAAATATACTAATTTTATTTTAAAATCATTCCATTCACTTTGTTTAAATTTCAACTTTTTTTGAAAACACAACCAGGCAAATAATGGTTTTGATCCTGGAGATAATTTTAAGTGGATTTTTATTGCTGTCATAGTTTATTGCATCTATTAAATGCAAATACTAAATAAAATGTTACATTTTTTACCCATTTTTAATTTTGTGTGTGTGTGTGAGAGAGAGAGAGAGAGAGAGAGAGAGAGAGAGAGAGAGAGAGAGAGAGAGATGATCAGGAAATGGTTCAACTTCTGCTAAAGAGGCATTCAAACTAAACTAATCTGGTGCATTTTCAAAGGATCATAAACAATGCATAGTAGTTCAAAATATGTCTGCATAATAGAAAACTTAAAGTGTCTCCTTCTAGAAATAGTTTTTAAATAATTATAAATTGATTAAAAATAAAAATAATAAATTATATTTAATTCTTTTCATGCCTTATAAGTGGTTACATGTAACATAACATTTTGTAATTAGTAAAACCTATTTAGATAACTGATAAAATAGTTGGAACAATCAATCAAGAAAAACAATACTAACATTTTAAAATAAAATAAATTTTGATCATGGAAACATTTGTATATTTTATAAAGTATATAGGTAAAATTGTAAAAAGTACAAAAATATTATTTTTTAAAAATTCCCCATATCTTAACTTTTGAAAAAGTGCAAAAATATTATTCTTTAAAAATTCCCCATATCTTAACTTTTGAAAAAGTGCAATTCTCTACATTACACAAAGAACTTGAAACAGGCGGTGCGTCAGTTGACTTTTAGTTCTTGATTTCTGTGGTTTTAAATCAAGACTCAATGTCTCCTGACACATATATGTTAAAAACGTATAAATCGCCTCAGATATCGTTGAACATTTGCATCAACCTGCGAAAATGTCTCAAAAGAAACGAAGGCGTAATTTGGGTAAGGTAGATCTAAGCCTGCGTGCTGTATGTCCACCTTGTTGAAATTCAAATCCTTCAAGATTCCAAACAAACTCTTAAAACACAAAATCCTAATGAACGACATTGCAGTACTTATCGCGGAGTGATTCCTTGAGGAGTGGAAACTCTTTGATCGGGTGTTCAAACAACACAAGAGACTGACCCCGGGTTTTGTAAACAACAGCATTTTACTGAATGTGTGAAAATAAGCTAAGTGCTCTGCATTAGCATTTGATTGCTGTTTTATCATCTGGTCGATTGAATTCGTTACAGGAAACAAGTATCATAGGATTTAAAAGTTAAATATCTCCTAATGACCATATTCTGTTAATATCAACGGTAATTCCTGGATTAAGAAAAGTACAAGTGTCTGAAACCATTCCTTATCAACTAAGGAGACGAAACTACACTGTACCTAAATTTTCGTGTATTTTATGCTTTTATGCTAAAAATATAAAAGACCATTACTTGAATTAAAAACCATTTCTTTTGAAAAGCAAATTCATCAGTTAGCAAAAAGATGAGTGGATAATTTTAAACAGAAGAATATCATATTTCAGGAAAGTTTTCTAATTATTTGTCAAAACGAATATTTTTTTGTACCAACCAAGGGTATGGGGCGGGTGAACGAACATACAAAACATAGACCAAGCAACTATGGATATCAACCATTTCAAAGCATTTTTATTGATTAAAAAAGGCGAAAATACACCCTGCAAATATTTCAATTCCTTCTAAATTTTGAAAAGTAAAATCAAATTTTAAGAATTTAAGTGATCTTGTGATCACTGAAAGAACCAATTGCTTTCGTAACTTGAAAAGAACGTTGACAAATTAAATGAGATCGAATTATTCCGTTATTAGAAGCTAATAAGGATTTCCATCAAAAGGGGCGTAAACGTTTTGATAACATCCCTTCAATTGGTGGATGAAAGACGACCCGTGTAAACATTAACACGATATTCATTATTTGAAAGTTTTAACAAAAACCTCAGCTGAAATCTAGTATTGTGTGAAATATTTTATACTCCAAACCCTGTAGTTAAGAGAAGAATATGTTGAATTCGTCAAATCTCAAATGATAGTGGCTGCATGTACATAATAAAACCCGAC